AAAAATAAAAATATAATCTAAAACCAACAAAAATGCCACTTTGGTTCAATATTTGTAATGACTTCTGACCTCACTCTGTCACATCCTTTAATATGTTAAGAAGGAGCACTCAAATATAATGTTACAAAGTTTAACAACCCAACACTTGAATTCAAATTTATTGAAATCATGAAATACACGTTAGCATGACTACTTTTGTTATTGTTATTTTGCATACTAAATATATTTACAAGGATACGCAAATATACACAGATATCCTTTATTCATGGCGAACAATAACGTTTGCCTTGAAGATAATTTTTCGATTCACGCTTCATTGTGTTCATTTGCTGCACGTATCCGAACACACAAGAGAATTTATTTGAAGGAATATCGAATTTTGTTGTTTAAAAATGTGCAAGTGTTGGTGTGTAAATAAGTGTGAGCCTGAGTGCGAGTGTGTGTGAGTGTGAATGCAATTATGTGTATGTGTTTCAAGTCGAATTTCTATTGTATTTTAATGCCCTTCAAGAATCGAAGGGGGTTTATGTCTACGCTCTGTTAAATAACATAACACAAGTATGCGTAGTTTCTTCCTTGCTGGTGTCCTTTTCTTGTTTCTCGTTTCTTGTATTTTTTGTTTTTTTTGTATTTCTTGTATTTCTTGTTGTGTGTATTTATTTATTCCCCTTTGTGTATCTGAATCACCTGAGGGTAAGAACGAATTTATTTTAACTTTTAATACATAAAACAGTTTTAGCAAGAAGCAGAAAAATGCAAGAGGAAAACTTTTAAATTAAAACGAGAGCAAATACTCGTAAATTCCAAAAGGAGGTGAAAACGCTTTCTGGTGCTTGAGGAAACACTCGATACTCCGATATTTTCATGCAAATTATTTTAATTAAGATCATAAGTTGTTCTTTTAGTTGAGTTTAATTATTTTAATTAAGTGAAAATAGACTACGACTTGTAGATATTGTATAAATCGAGTGTGTAAGAGCTTTACACTGTACAATGCTGAACTGTCTTCTATGAAATCAATGCATAGAAAATATTAAATTTATTTTTAAAAGTAGTTCAATCACATTTGCGGATTTCCTATAAAATCATTGATAAAAGAGTACACATATTGGTCAGAATAAAAATGATTACTGGGATAATATACCAGGATTAAAACAATCCAAATCACTTATTGATACCTATAATAATAAGAGATACCAGGATTGTATGAACCTATCAAAAAAAAACCTGGTATTATCACAAGAACTGTAGACTAAAAGCTCACCTTACAAGACTGGGTATACTTACGGATGCAAACTATAGATTCTGTGAATAGAATGAGGAGTCGGCCACACATGTGCTGTTAGAATATCCTGCGCTTATACACATACGAAATAGGCTCCTAAGAATGTATATTCCTATGGAAGAGGCAATAAAACTCTGTAAAGTAGGTTCTATACTACATTTTATTTACGCAACAGGGCTTAAAGATCTACTCTAAGCACAGAAGGGGGCACAATAGATTAATAATAATAATGATACATATCAGTTTCGATATCTTTACTTAAAGAACACACTTTAAACAAATCTTCAGAATGGTAAGCTAATTATATCTATTAAAACTTTAATGAATTTTTTATTTAAATTAAAACAAATGTTAGTACAATTGATTGAGTATTCAGAATGGTAAGCTAATTATATCTATTAAAACTTTAATGAATTTTTTATTTAAATTAAAACAAATGTTAGTACAATTGATTGAGTATTAGATTATAAGTCATATTAATAATTATATATATAATTATAATAAACTTTCACAGAGCAATCATAATTATTTTTTTTTGAATGAGTTTGGAGATTTGTTTTCAGAGTAAAAACTTGGAAAATCAGTTTCTGTGAACTTGGGAACTGGTTTCTTATAATTTTGTATATTTTCTTGATTCGTTCCAGAATTGTTTTGACATATAAAAGTTGAAGAAATCCGTGAGGGTGTAAATTTCAACATTGTCGGGTCAGTTTGTGTTTGCTTGTTTACAGAATTTTGAAAGCGTTGTGGAGGAAAATCTGGAAAATCTATTTTAAAATTTTTAGGGTGTTCTGTAACGCTATTACTCTTACTTGAATTGACAATATTATCGCAAAATTTATCAACGACATGACTTTGTAATGGTGATAACTTATTAAATGTATTTGTTCTTGTAAATCCCATATTTGACTCTTCATTTAAATTTTTTATTTCATTATCAGCACTACCAAGATCCAAATTAGCAGAAATGATCTTTTCATTCTTGTTATGGTTGTTACTAGTGCTAGTTGCTTGATCAATAGTTTTACAGTAAACCTGTTTAGCAGTCGGGTAAGCAGTTGCCTTAGATTGTCTTTTAGTGTAAGTTGGGTATAATGATTTATAAAATGATGACAATGGTCTGGAAGTAGTAGCAGTGCTGAAATATTCTTCAGGAATATTATCTGTATTTAAACTGCTCACTGTAGTAAGAGGAGCACCCTTGTCTTTGTAATCTTCATCAACAATAGAGTTTTGGAGTTGAGGCATTGTCATAGTTTCAACACTTCTATTTTTCAAAAAAGCAAATGAATTACTATTTTTACTTTGCAAGATTTGTTGAAGATCAGGAAATGGAATTAGCGACGCAATTGATTTGTTGGCATAATTGATGTTTTCTTTTGCAATTAAGGAATTATTGTGCTCTGTATTATTTTCCTGCTGCTTAAGTATGCTTGCTACTTCCGTGCCGCACAGCACTTCCTTAGTTTCCTTCGACTGTATCTTATGTGATTCTACTGAATTTGTTTGATAATAACGTCCTTTGTTGAAACAGTTATTAAACTGGTTCTGAACGCAATTTCCGCAGATGTTTATAAGATGCTGTTCGCTAACATGTTTTTGCAGTTCAGCATAGCTTTGATAAAAATTGCTTGTCTTCACACAAATATGACACCAGTAATGAGTACGCTTCATGTGAAAGAAGAGTTCACTGTTATCAAAGAATCGAATTAAGCACAAATTGCAACGGGGATGATTCTCTATCCAATGTTGCTCCAAGGAGGCTTTGGTGTAAACCTGACGCTCAGACGGAAACTTCTTCAGATGAGTAACGCATAAAATACAAACTATTAAGCTATGCACCTCATAGAGATGCTTATCTAGAAAAGATATATTGTTGAATGGCAAAACATTGCAGTAAGAGCAAGAGTTTTCTATTAAATGGTAAAACTCTCTTTCGACAGCAACGTTATAAAAACCAATTCCGCGCATTTGGTAGCATAAGTTTTCACGCTGAAAAATAATTTCCAATTTTTGATATAGTAACTTGATTGACGAACATATTACTCTCGGTAGAAAAGTTTGACATATAGCGCAGAATAGTTTATTGTGAAGTAATCTCATGCGAACAGAACACTCGAGGCAAATCGGGTGATTACATATACCTATAGCATACATTGTCATAACTTTGAAGCAGAGGCCACAGGTATTTGGGAATTCGATGTATTCATCCTTACGTATAAGCAGATAATTTTTCTTTAAGAATTCATCAACAGCGTGACTATAAATCTTGCCATTTTTAAGATCAGAAGACTGCACTGAATTCATTTTCAATAATTTCGAAATATAGTATTCGCAAAACTGAAACGTCTCTTCCTCCTCTTTCCTACAAAAACAAAAATTACAAATCAAGGAAAAAATATCGATTTAATATAATACAAGGTAGATTATCGATTGAAACGGTAACCATAAATATATATATATACATTTCCTTCGGATTTTGTAGTAATTACCAGTTTCAACTGATTAAAACCAGATAGAATGCTTGATGATCTGCATCATGCTTAACACATACTCTGTTAAATAAAGGCATTGATCTGTTTTATGTGCGGCGTTATGCTTAATATACTCATCATTATACTCGACATACTCTTTAACAAGCATTATGGAGATCGGTTGAAATTTGAATATAACTACATATATATATATATTCAAACTTATGTACATATATAACACCAATATTAGTGGACTTAAATTCAATAAATAATTTTATTACACAATTTAATAATTATAATAAATAGTTTAAAAATATTTATGTCTTAAACCCTCAAATTGGTACTCGTGTTTCGTTACACCTCGTTGTATGGTCAACTCAGGTATGCATAGCTCTAAACCAACGTTGGGTACGATATTAATCAAGCGACAACAAACCCTATTAAAGATAAAGAACTTAATATATAAAACTTAAATATAAATGCTATACCCTACTATATCAATAATGTATTCGTCATATGGTGGAATATAAAACTAAACACGATGCGTAAAATTAATGATTTTAAAACCGATAATTCAAATATTCTGCAATTTTAACTGATATTATGTATTACATGTTGAATTAATATCTACTAATCACCTACATATTTATACCAGCATATTTTTATCCACACGTGGATCGAGAAAACTCTTATAATTTACTTGTGCGTTGGAATACCTTGTAAAAACTACGGTATTCACAATAGGCTAATGTACATGTACTGACCATACTGTTTTTGTGCTCCTGAATAAGGGTAACAAACCGCAAAAACTACTTAACACCAAAGCAGAATACCTACATGTATAACATATTATTAGGCCTTTTCTTTTAAAAGCATAACGCAAAAGAACAACATAAAATAAGCACTACTTATGATGGCAACTCTGGACGAACTGGAAATTTTGTTAGACATATATGCAAAACATAAAATTGAAAGTTAAAGTTCCAAAAATAAATCAAAATTCTTTGATTGTGAATTAAATTTGTATTTTCAGGCTCTTTTAAATTCGTAATAGGAATTACGAATAAGCGTGAAAATACAAACCTGAAATTAACAAGTGAATTAAGATCAAATTAAAATTTGCTGTGTGAATAGGTTCATACCGAAGAGAATCGAATAATTAAAATTACGATAACTTGTGCTTTGTTACTAGTCTATAGTACACAACTATTTTGGAATATGAGTTGTCACACTTTAATTAAATTTTTTAAAAAAATTTAATAATTGAAAAATACATTACAGGAAAAATTATTTCCAACTCGTCCGAGTGCATGACAGCTACGTATGAATGAAATTAAAAATATAATAACTTTTATTCACATCAATTACAAATTCATTTAAAAAAAATTTGTTTTTATATAACGAAGCAAGATTAATAACGATTGTTCAGTTTATACGTCAACTATATAATATGATAATTTTTATTTTATCTTTACGCACTCGTAAATATTCTTTTGGACATATTGACACATTTTTAATCCCCCTTACTTTCATAATAGCCGCATAATTCAATTTAATTAAATATTAGTTAAAATTAATTATTTCTAATAATAATACAATTAATAGTATTCTATTTAATTTTCTATTTAAATGTTTATAACAAAATAATTGTACGTGACATAACTTCTCAAGTATTCACGTCGATATAGTGGGTGCAATGAATACCAAAATGGGTAGGCTCTAATATATAACTTTGTAACTTTGTTATGCACAAAGAAGTTTATTAGATAAAGTATGTACTAATAACCTATTATTATATTCAATTATATACATAACTATATGTATATTCAATTCAACAATAATTTTAAGTAACAAATTTTATATATATATCTGTGTTTTGATATAAATGTTCGTTGTCATTTATGGGAGCCCAATTGATTTGAAGACGTGTTCAGAATATGAGAATATGTAGAAATTTTTTTATAAATTAGATAACCTTCACTTTTTAATAAGACTTCATTCGTAAAACAAATAAATATTTATTAGATGTATGGTTCTAAAAAATTTCTTGTCAAAACGAATAAATTTCTATATTAAAACGTCTACAAAGTTTTTTCCACTATTAGAAAACTTTTTTAATTACTTTGATTTATAAAAATTTAGAATTGGTATTTGCAGAATAAGTAATCCAACAACTTTACTTACCAAATAAACGAAAAAGGCTTTGAGGTCTTAAATAGATTCTTATTTGAAAAATATGTCTTTCTGCAAGCAAAAAAAGCCGAACACTGTACCTTTCGCTACAAAATGATAGAGAAGACTGAAAAAATATGACACATAATGTTTGATATAAGTTTTTTCAATGTTGCCTACTGTAAGCTTTTATGCAAAATGTCGACATTATTTGGTAACTTCAATACGCTTACACGTAGACTTTTTTTGAATAAACTAACTCCCAAAATAAATGCACTGGTGTCTAAATATTAATTACGATTAACAATAGATTCTTTACTTACCAACTGTTTTGCAAAGTCAAAGCCTGCAAATAGAAAAGAATATATATATTATTAAAATATAGAATTCTTAATCTTATATTTATATTAGAAAATATAAAAAATCGCTAAAATAAATTTAAAGGCCAATTAGTAAAGAAATATTGCCTTATTTTTTTGCAAAATATAGACTTTTTCCATTTTTAAAAATAAAAACAATAGTGCGGAAGGTGGGTTATATGAACTTAACCCATAAACGATATATTAAAACAAAAATCATATACCTAAAAGTCTTAATATTGGACAAAATAATTTTCACGCAATGTATATGTAATGTATATATATTATTATAATTAAATAATAATATATATATAATTATATAATAAGTATGTAATAATATAATAATAATATAATATATAATAAGTATATAATAAGCATTTCAATATAACTTTGCAATCAACCAAGATGAGAAAAATTCAAAAAATGTTTACGCTGAATCAATACTAAATTTCTTCAATTTCGTTTCTAAAAAAAAATTAATTATATTAAAAATTACATTAATTAAAAATACATAAATTGGTTAGTACATCTTATCTTAAAAAGAATTCCGAAATTGAAGTAATTTAATTTTCATTGGATGAGATATTCTTGCATCAATTTCAAATCTTCATATTAAGAGTTCTTAGGTTTTCACTTTAAAGTTAAGAATACAAAAATTTATAATTTGTGCTGCCGAAATTTCAAAATAATTTTATAGTCTCTTTAAACTTATTTTAAGTTTAGTCACAAGATTTGTGATATTATGCACTTTAGTGGTAGAAGTCGACTCTGAGCTCAAAACATTCTAGTTAAGCTTATTTACTTATTTTTAAATATAACAAAGTATGACTTTTATTGATAGTTTCATTTATTCAATGCCGTTTCTTCAATACAGCACAACACTCTTGCCGAGAGTGACGCGTCTTTATGACAAAAAGAAACTATTTAAAAGTTAGGCGGATTCCAATAGCAAAGAAAGGACAAGAACAAAAATTTATTTAATTTATTGAAATTTGGCTGATCATACAACGCTGTTTCGAGTATTGCCAAGTACTCATCATCAGTGGTCCAAGGAAATAATCAAATTTTTTAATTAGTTTAAGGTCCATATGTAATTTGTTTGGACTGCAAATGCCAGGCTTAGAACGCGTGTCTGTCAAATTAGAAGCGATGACTAATCGTGTTTATCCACAAGTAGCCAAGGCTGCAATAACGTTCAATACTCAAGTTCCAGGTTTTTTGTTATAGGTTATTGTCACTAATTAAATAAAAAAGTGTGCTTGATTTCACCGTGTTAGTAAAATTATTTGTTATTGGCGAAGAGTTTTCATTTTTCGGTCCGCGGTACCTTTTGAAGAATTCCACTATTTTGAATCAATTTTGTCTTAGCTTTGCTAAGTTATTTATTCCTACACAAAGAAGACATAATGCCTAAAAAAAGTGGCTCTATGAAGTTATAATAAAGATGTTATGAACATAATTAAATAAATTTAAAAGCATAGTTTTAAAGCTGTGATACTCTTAAAAATAAAAAAACTCACACACAAACTTCAAACAAGTCTGCCAATAGTCTTGTAGATTGTTCTTGTAGATTGTAGGCGTTTGTTAACTCCTTAACACCAGGAAATCTGTTGTTTCTTGTCCTGACAGAACTAAATTCAGGTTCAAACTTTGCGGCGACCCATTTTTCAATCGCATAGGGCCGACACCTGCATTTATCAATGCACCTGCCATTGGAAATGAACATACTCAATCTTCTTCCCATAATTACAAAGAATGTGCTATAAAAGTGGCTTATTTATTAATTGAGGGGGATTCTTTTTTCTTTTCTGTTCACGCACACTTTCGTCGAAAAGGCAAAAAATAAATATTAATAATTCTTTATTAAGTGTAAAATCGTCTAATATTTAATAAATATTTAGTCAATTTTTTCGTAATTAATTAGAAACTACAATTAAATCCTCTAAAAATATAACTTTTCAACCAAACCAATCGGTCCAACGCCTTTTTCTGCCGTATATTTTTAAATCGTACATTATTCCAGAGCTGCGTTTACTTCTAATTCTAATTACAACATGAGACCTATTTACTCCTCCGGATACTATTTTGGGTTTTAATTTCCTGAATGGTGACATTTGGAGATCCTTTAACTCTATTCGTGTTATACGATACTTTTTGCTCTCATGACGGTTATTCTAAAAAAACATAATTAATTAAAAGAATAAACACTTTGTTTTTCAGTACTTGAAAGTATGAATAGTATTTGTTGAGACCATTCCTGTGAGCGACAGGCCATATAAGTCTTTTATGTAGCAATAGCTTATCTGTTGGAGACCTAATACCCCAGCTTTGATCACCTCCAAGTACAACCAATCCCGCAAGAATATATGCTAATACAAAAATAAAAGCAATCCACACTTTCATATTTTAGTTGTCCGACCAACCTTACACATCACGCAATTGAAACTTCCAATATATCTTGCTATAACTTTTATATAAAATATTTACCACAGTCCAATTAATTGATTTTTCATGCATTAAAACTTCTAAATTGATTCTTTTCGCTTTATTCAAAAAAGTGATATATATTAAGTATATTGGTATGTAGGTATGACTTACTTGCTTTTAAATGTACATACTGTAATTATTACGATTCTGAAGTTGTGTCACAAATTTATTGTTGTGACTCATTATTAAAACGAACTAATTCGCAACTTCTGTAGAATGTTTTTCTTACTGAATGCTAAACAAAGTTCGAAGATGTGAATATCATCATCAGCGGAGTTATATTAGTACATGAAATTTAATGCATCAGCATTCAAATCTTATTCAACCTTCCAGCATTTTAATTTTGAAGTATGATTCATTAGGCGGTTTGCTCTCATATACGATGTTCGAACATTATATAGTGTTCGAACGTTTGGGTCATGTATATTTCTGTAAAACAGAAAATTAAATGATACCCTAAATAAATTTGCTTAAATATATTTTAATAGTTCTAGCATTTTGGAGCACTTCACACTCCAAAACTTTGAAGTACTAATTATAATCTATCGAGACTCGAATCTATCGAGCTCATCTTCCCGATGAGTACTCTTTGGTGTTCATAAAACAATTTGATTTAGAGGAAGAATGCATTACAACTAAGTTGAGGAATTGATAGCAATAATTAGATTATAAATTGTATTTATTATTATTGTTATGTTATTATTGTAAATTAGAAAATAGTTATTTCGCAGTAAATTTCTATTATAAAAAAATGAAAAGAGAAAAAAAATTACATTTTTCACTTGATAATGTACTGTTATTAAAATAATTGGAAAGCAGTGTTTGGAAGATTTCATTTTTATACTGAAGGATCAATGGCATTCTTTTTTGATTTCAATTGTCTATTCAAATGTATAGAAGGGACTCAATTTTTACAATTAATAGACTTCTTGTTTTTGTAACTTGCTTGGCCTGAAAATGTGTGGCAGCTTTTCAGTAGTCCTCTATCTTGCTCACATCATGATAAGAAATTGTTCTTACAGTAGTAGGAGCTAAACACGGAATTCTTCCGGTATTCAGTAGGTTTTTCTATAAGTTTAAAAGGTTTTAAAATGTCCCACTTTTCTTCCAAAGGAAATTTGTTTTCGGTTTTGACTCATTTTTATATTTTATAAAGCAAAAATTTACCTTTCCATTTTAACACACAACTGTAAACGGATACCTTTTAACTAAAAACTTAATACATGTAAATCCTCTTTTAAAAAATCTACAAGATCTACAAGAAATAAAATGGGAACCCTCTCTGTACGCATGTATTAAAAAATGATGCAAATTGAAATATTACCAATGCAATTCTAAGCCAAAACTTATATTTTTTTGACTACGAAATTCAAATCAACGGAAATCAGGGCGACGCAAATCGGGATATTTGTATACCTAAATTAGAGATTTAGAGAAGAATGCTATACAATTTCATTAAAGGCTTTAAAATTGACATAGCGCCTTGCGCTCTACAATTCAACCTATTGTCAGTAGTTTCCAGAGTTGAACCATGACGGTACAGATATTAATAAAGCTAAATTCTCTGAATACCCAGATTTGGTAGTAAATCAAAAATTCACAGAATCAAATACCCATACAATGAAGTTTGAGAAATATATATCTTCGGTATATGGATAACTTAAAGATATCAGATGTCAAGTGTTTTTTCGTCAGCCATTATTTCATTGTGTCATTGTGAGTTAATTACTTTTCTCTACAAAATTTACAAAATCTACACAAA